AGTCATATCACTATTAATCTGTCTCGTAACTTAGAATCACAGAAGTTTTTGCCCAAGTTTTGACCAGGTGCACAAGATGCCGAAAAAGAAGGGAAAGGGCAGTAAACAGAACGGTGAGGAAGAGTGGTACGAGAACGCGGAGGAAGCGGCCAGGGAACGGGAGAAAATGAAAAACATGAATAACATGGCAGCAGATGGAAGCGGTGATGACGGGGAGGGAAATACCGCCATCAAAAACAAAAAGGGTAAATTGAGTTCATTTTCTGTAATATTTGTATCCTGTCATGATTCGTGTTTATGAAATAGAAAATCATGAAAATAAATGGTTCAGTCCCTGCCAATGGCCTGGGCCTATCTTTAAGCCTAACTAATATTTATCACGGTGGCCAACAACAGATTCTATCATCAATCTAGCCCCACTGGCACTACTGTGGCACGGATCACTCTCGATTTATCCTTAATCGGGAGTGATCCTTGCCACACTAGAAATCAGGAGTGATCCGTGCGACGTGCCACACTGGGCTATCATCAATTATATCAACATAGGCCTGGGCATATAATTGGTCCCTAATTTTACCTCTTACTGTGAAAACCACTCAGACTTAACAAGAGGTGGTGAAATTCTGGACCTGGTGACTAAACCCTCATGCACATTAGGCTACAGGCCTACAACATGTCAACTTATGTTACTCAGCATCCTGTACTGCGTTAGCATGGCTCTGGTGGTTAGCAGGTTAGAGTAATGAGTGCTTGACGAGTATGATTTAAACCCACTCTCATAATTTTTAAACACTCAGTTTGGCGCAACTTGCTGTAAATCTAGTCCAAGTAACTTGGACTCTACAAGTACAAATCGCCTTTTGGACATGGCTGAGCATAACCATGTCCAAATGTTAAGGTGATTTTTTTGGGGGGGACTGCACTAAATCACGTGTTGATGTCGACCCAGCACAGCGAAAAATTCCCTACACAAATTGTTTCGGAGTGGCCGCAAGAGGGCGCCACGATCAGCTCATTACGCGCTGACCAAAAAAGGCAAATTTCATGAATGAAACTGTTCCGCATGCGCACATACTCCGCAGCGGTACCTGGAGTCGTTGTCACTTCGACAGAGCTCAGTAGGACCTTTCGAATGGTACCAAGATCGATGAAATTCGTACATTTCTTCGACTTCTTCACCCATTTCTTTGATATCAACCTGAGGTGCACAAACTCGCGGATTCTCGGTGGAATTTGAATTTTGGTAAGTCATATATTTGTTGTCATTTTAGTGTGAAACAGCGGCACCGTCTGAGGATGATTGGTAGGGTCTCAAATAATCATAGAAACGTGTGTTGTTAGCGTGGGTTGAGTGTATTGAGAGCGGCGTGTGAATATGCATGAAATTGCATGGTCGCCGGAGACGACCGTTTGGGTGCCTGACGGGCGACCGTTGGTCGTTGCGTGGTGGTCGTACGCGTTGTGTGCGTGCGTGTGTGGATAAGCATTGCGCGCCGTGCATGTGAAAGACACGTTGTTGTCGCGGGGCCGGGAATTCGGTTGGGGAGTGTGCGACATGTACTGTACATGTACATGTATGATGTGCATGTACGCAAGTACTGTATGGAGCAGGTGGTTGGTGTGCGTGCAGGGCCGGATTTGGAGACTTGTTGGTACATGTAGAATTAGATTGAATAGTTGTTATTGTACCATGCTCATTCAGATGTAATGTTCCATTGATTTTTTACCACTACAGTTGTCATGTACACGTAGGCTACAACTGTTACACACAGCTGTCATAGTTGAAGATAATTCATTTTGCCTTTTTTACTAGGCCTTTTGACATAGGCCTAGTTGATTGTAAATTTGAAAACACCACTCTTCCCCCCCCAAAAAAAGAAAAGTATACGTAATCAGGACAATTACACAAGTTTTTATTTATCTTAGTAAGTTGATGATTTTGGGGAAAGCCTGTACACATTTGTTCGTATCGTGATACATCGGCCCCAGAATTTAATTAGGATGTCGCAGAAGTCAATGTCAGGAGTGCGAAAATTTACAAACATTTTCATTTCATAGACGACACTGTCTTGTCTCAGACCAGTCTCATACAAGTAGAGTTTGTACATATACACAGGGTGTCAAGTGAGTGAATTTCGTAAATGGAAGTCTTTCTGAGATTTGTGATTTTTAGGATTTTTTTTAGTTTTATTTTTGAGGACTGAGGACTGTTAATAAGGCTGTTATTCTGTACCATCTCTATCACAATTACCTGTCCTAGAATTGATTCATGTACATGTAGTTAGTTTTCTTTATTGTCATACATGTACATAAATTTGCAGTGGCTCGTGAAAAAAAAGACATCTAAAATGAAATACTGTAGTTGTTGCGTTGTTTCGATCGTCTGGAAACATGCTCAAAGTGTCAGTCTTTCGCCTGTTGGCACTCTTTGTGGCTTATTGGTCGTTGTTGTAAATGTTGAACATTTAATTGAAAACTTGCTGTAAATTAGGCTCGGCGCAATTCTAGAAAGTCCATCTGAACCAAGTAATGGGCCAAATTTCTAAAATCTGAACATGTGATCTGGCCTGTCGTTTTTGTTAAAACACATAATAACATGCACGTAAACATTTAGAAGTACATTGTGCTTTGTGTATTGTTTTAGAACACATTTTGCCTCATGTTTTACAGGTTGAAAATGGAGGAGCACATCAGTGCCTTAGGTATGATGTGCAGGATCTGTGGGCAGGTCATTACATCATCGAAAAACAGATCCAGCTTGGCAAGGTACAGGACAGAACTCCTCGCCGTGTACAAGCTGAATTTGGATGAAGAGCAAGAGGGCATCCATCCGTCAATTGTTTGCAACAAATGCAGGTGATAGTCAGCTCATAATACATTTAAATTCTTCTGACTTTGCTTTTCTTGTAATTTTTCCATGCTTTGTTTTTGCTACCGGTAGTAAAGAAAATGAAGGTCTGAATCATGCAAACTTTCAATTTTTTTGGAACACTATTGCCAAAATCTATTGAAAATCATTTGAAATGAAGTGATGGCTAATAGTAATGGCATATTCCTGTTCATGAGCAAGGTTGATGTTATACAAATGACATGCTATTAACATGTTTGAAAAAGGTTGTTAGGTTTGAGGAAACTCTGTTCTCAGTATAGTGTCATGTACCTGAGTAATATAATGAGTTATACAACAGGGGATTTGGCTTAGCTTCACATTCTTTGGCTGACCACAAGGGCATTTAATGTAAACAATGGTGCCAGTAGGCCTATATGTAGTAAACAATGAGCAAGTGCCAGGGTGTATGGGTACACTACCATGCCAATTGGAACAGCTATCTCTCTACAAGGATATCAATTCCACTGTGTATTGTGTGCATGTGTGTGCAATACATGAACAGTACATGTGCATTATTGTACATTTAACCAACCATTCTGTGTTCTCATGAAATGACAAAGAATGTGTGCAAAGTTGTGGCGCCCAACAGGGCAGCTATATATCTATGGGGGGCACCTTTTCTCTGTGAAGTGCTTTCATGGTGTTAAAAGTGCTCTATAAGTACAGTCTAATCTTGTAACATACATGTACTTGCAAGGACCAGATAAATTACTTTGTTATGTAAGGATTTTGTTATAAAAGGAGTAGAAAAACATAACAAATGAAGGGACATGGACCGCAAGAATGTGTTCCTTTTAAGAGGAGCTTAAAACTAACAGATTTCTTTGTAACAAAATTCGACTTTACCTGTTTATTATAAGTATTGGATCGCCTTTTGCATGACATGATTTTTCTTTTTTGAAAATACAGATGATTTGAGCTTGCTCAGTTATCCATTTTCATTGCATATTTGATGTTTGTGAAATGCCATCTCTTGTATATTTGAATTTTTTTTTCCTTGCTACTTTATACAGGAGACAAATGCAACGTGCACATAGCTCCATGCAGCAAGGAAAGCAGTACCAAGGCACGCTTCCAAAGAAGCGGGACTTCTCAGCCCATGATGCTTCTTGCTGGGTGTGCAGTGCTCATGCTGCATACACATCCCACATCCACCCTCAGTTTGGAGAGCCCTCAACAAGTGGCATATCAGACCAGCCATCAACCAGTTCACAAGATTCAGCACTTCAATCAAGCCATGCAACAGCCAAAAGATCCTTGTTCGGCAAATCAGTTCCAGACCCAGGATTGGCGTCGCATGGAAAGAAGCACATATGGAGTGTGAAGGCCAGTTTGAGCCAGGTCAGACGGGATCATGCCCGTAGGCGTACGAAGGAGGCATCTGAGTGGATAACAGACTTCTGTGAGAAGCAGAAAGAAAGTAAGACTGATGTCCTCTACTTTCTTCTGTGTGAGAATCTGAAGGAATGCAGTGACTCCAGGTATAGAGAGGTAATGCTGAAGTTTGATTTATTCATTTGCTGCCATGCATGGGATTAGGGTTATGTAATATATACAATTTGTATTGGTTTCTTTTGGGCCTGTGAAATGCCTGCTTTTGGAAAGCCAAGGCATATTTTTAATTGCATGTATAGTGAAATTTCTTGGCAGAAATAAGAAAAGCAGATTTTCAGATTTCACCTTTTTCTCAATATTTTTTTCTGGAGGTATGATAATCTGCTTGGAGCTTTTAGCCTGAAAGTCAGGCTTTCTACCATTTACTATAATTTTTGTCAAAAATTTAACATGAAATGTCTGTTTTTCCCGTTTTTCCCCTAACAGGTGTTGGCATCCTGGAGCAAAGAGACAAATGACTTGTCTGCAGAAGATTGCCTCGCGATGCGAGTAACCACAAAAACCTCGAAGTCGCACTATGAGGCCCAGTATAAGAAATTCAGAGCCAAGGGCATCAGTATCCTCAAGCCTCCACATGCCCTGAATGAGTTGGAAAAGACCTTCATGCCAGGTAATGTGCGGTTCAGGTTGGAGGGAGGAACAGATGTGATTCACCACACACCCGTTAAGGTTGGGAAGTCCCATGCTCATTATGGGGAGGTTTCTTTTGAACCCCTGGACCTCAATCAAGAGGACCATCCAGGGTTAGAAACCCCTTTCCCAAACATGAAAGGTGTGGCTTGGCCCTACCCCCACGCGCTTGCCAAGACATTGGAGGAGCTGGATGCTGAAATTACAGCGGGTATGGAGACAGCAGGGATTGATCCCGACGATGACCTTTGCGTCTTGACAACAATCAAGGATGGTGCTGATGGAATGGGAGACATCTCCATAACAAAAAGTGTAAGGGAGCGCCTGCTACCAGACAAAGCATTTCGTGCTGCATTTGCAGTCATCAAGTGCGAGGTAGTGAAGGACGGAGAAAGAGTCACTGTTTATGAGCCTGATGCCCCAGACTCAACCTTCATTACTCGACCACTTATTGAGGCAATAGCAGATGAAAATAATAGAGCGTCTGCCTCAGTCCTACTGGATGGTATGGAGCAGGATCGAGTCATGTTGCAATCGAAGGAAATGGCTGTCAATGTTGGTGCAGTATGGAGGAGACATAAGCTGAAGATCTTTAATAGTATGATTGACGAAAAGCTGGACAGAGCCAATGGGGGTCTGCAGGGTAGCGGTTCACGTTACATTTGTACTCTTTGCCATGCGACGACGAAGGACAGCGCAAAGACTGATCTGGGCAGCTTTTGCATAACACGCAGCTTCCAGGAGACAAAGACCACTGCCCAATACATGCAGGTAAACCCGGACAATCTGTCTTCAGCAGAACTCGGAGAAATAGCGAAGGGGGTGAAATCTCACCCCATTCTTCAGTCAGAACCACAGCAGAAACTTTTGGATGCCACCCATGCAGATATTAATATGGGAAACTTCTTTAAGAAGCTTATAATTTGTGAAATTGCCAGGGTGCAAACATGGGACATCACCAAAGACGTGAAACCAATGTTTGAAGCAGCAGAAAAATTATTCAATGACCATGTCACCCAAACCATAGGTTTGGTCCCCAAACTTATGATGCCGGGGAACTTTGCACGAGACGTCTTCAATTCGAAGAATACTGAGCACTTCCTTGCACTAATTGCAGATGAGGGCCGAAAGAGGAACCTGGCGGAAGTCCTTGATGCCTTTCGGAATCTTCGCAAGATCTATCGTGCCCATCACCCAGATGCAGATGATGTGTGCACCTACAAGGAGCAGGCAGTGGCAATGGGACTGCGTCTTCTGACTGACTTCCCCTACGCTGGTTGGCCCAATTATCTGCATAAGATAATTGAGCACGTTCAGGAGGGTCTAGAAGATCCAGAGGGCCCTCGCACAATCGGCGGGATCAGCGGGGAAGGCAACGAGGCGGCCAATAAGCTATTTAGGGAGCTACGTGGCCACTTTTCCAGACAGCATGATGAGACCCAGTCCCTCAGAGATGTGCTGTGGTTTCATTGGTTGTACACCAGCCCAAAGCTGAAACGAATTGGCCATGTCGAGACCAGAAAGTATCAGTGTTCTCAATGTAAAGAGCTGGGGCATAATTCAAGAAGTTGTCCGAATTAATGTGTGCTGACTGTGTCATATTAGATAAGAGATTTTTCCTTTTTCAACAAATTATAATTGTTCGATTTAAATTGCATGCAAATGAAAAATTTACATTTTCATATTTTGTGCTATTCTTGTAAGCAGTTTTTGGGAGAATTCCGTATGAAGAGCTAAATTAAATTATGTTCAAACTCATACATGTACATGTTCATACGTGTAATGTGCAACGTACATGTACTTTAGAGGAATTACTTTATTATGAAAGGATTTTGTTGTTTAAGGAGTTGGAAAACAAAGAAAAACCACAATAATTGAAGGAACACGAGCTGTAAGAATTTGTTTCTTACCAGAGGAGTTTGTTATATCAGAGTTCTTTATTACGAGATTCGACTATTCAGACTTAAAACAGTTGAGCGCTTAGACATTGCATTGTAATTATAAATGTACATTTGTGCTGATGTCCTTCCTGACGTCACTACTAAAAGTTTGGAGTTCGAAAGTTTGAAATTTCCAGAGTTCTACTGAAATTAAAAAAAACCTGGCTTTGTTATGTCTCTGAAGACGTGTTAAGGGCAACACTTCTTCACTTCTTCAGAAACATAACAGAGACGAGTCTTTTTTATGTGTTCCTTGAAAAGTCTGAGTCTCAAGACAAAACATATCACGACACTTATTTTGGGGGGTTATTTTCACACATTAAATCTGTTTGTGGGAAACCTTGTAATTTTAAAAGACAATGTTGAAGTCATGGCTCCATATGCAATTTCCGAAGATTCCACCTATTGTTTCTTGCACCCTAAGCAAAAATAATGTCCCTCTGGAACTGTCGCAAGTTCTATGCAATGAGTGTGATACCACTTTTTGCATTTGTCACACTGAATCCATGTTGGGTCCTTGAACATTGGAGATGAAGCTATGGTGCACGGAACAAACTCGCAGGGCTCTGGCTCAAAACTCCTGTCAGTAAGGACGGAAATTTGGCGCGAACTGCCACCAACAACAAGTAGGGTGTTTTCGCATTTCAGTTTATGGAGGGAATGTCCATATGTACCAAATATAGCTGCTGCAGAAGTTGTCTTCTGAAAGGCATCATAGTCTTTTGAAGATAAACTTATTCTGTACGCTGTGGGCAGAGGTGTTGGGGCTTTGTCTGAAATTTGCCTGGTGTGTGTTTGTATGCCACCAACAACGATTATGCTGTTGTTGTGCACAATTGTAGCATGAGACGAAAGAAAAACGTCTGGAGTATTTGGCGTTGTACAGGCCAGAGATATCTCTTGTAATGTACAGTTGCTCAGTTCTTTGTCCATAGTGAGCAAGACAATTTCGTTTAAAGCTTCGCGGTGGCTTGGCAAAGTTTCTTCAAATACCACTCCACCAATAACAGCTACAGTCAAATTGGAATCACTTTCAAGAACAGAAGTAGAGTGATATGTGCGTGCTGTAATCAGGGGCACTTTCAAGTATTGCCATTCATACGTGTCGGTGTTGAGGATATAAAACCTGCCGTCCTTGCAAGATTTGCAAAATCGCGATGCAAAGTGGTCCTTGCTCTTCCCCATACAGATACCGCCGAATAGTAGAGCCTTATTTGAGCCTGGCAGTTTTGTCAATGTGTGACCAGTCCTTCCTGGAAGAAATAAGGCATCAGAATTCATTTTTGTCTTACCTACATAAAATAAAAACAGCACACTTATTATTCTGCTCATATTTGTATATATTGATTGATAAAGAGATTTGTACATTCGTATATACATGTAATATTTGTAAATAGCAACTAGCTAACCACACTGGCAGCAGGCTGTATTCTGGAAGGATTTTCAGTCTACTGGGGGGATATACATTTTCACCTTTGATGAATTATCACCTCCACAGCTATTTTGCTGGTAGACTGTAAACTCCTTTGTAACTGTTTATAAATTGATTGGTTGTAAATGGGTACATAAATGAATTAATAAATTTTGTATATACGTTTGATCGAATTCTTCATCTCAGTTTCTGTATGTGCACTTTTACTGTTGTTTAGTGTATCACCGGATTGAAGGTCACAAAAATCTGCAAATCATTGGAGGAATAAATGCAGGGAATGTGTGAGTGTATATCCATTGGTATTGGTGTCTGCAGTCAAACGGATCAACAGAGATGAGATTAACACACGCAAGTACAACAGTTGAGGTTGAGTACAATAATTTACCTAACGGTACTGGTCCAGTTTGGTGGGAAGTTTCGTTTCCTTCTCTGGATGGCGTCTTTCGGTCTAGAGTTTCCACATAAGTCACCTGAAACAGGGGCAATACTGCTCTCCTTGGACGTGGTAGTTCCTTTATCACAAGCAAATCGTCCCGACATCTGTATTCGCTAAGATCTAGACCACCCCACATTATAAAGAGGTTCGGACCAGCATCTACGATTGCAGCACCATGAAGGGGTGGAAGCGTGCCTCCTGTGACAGAAACACAATTGAAACATTGCCTTAGGGAAAAAAGGCTTTCCTCATCCAAATCTTAGCATAAAATACAATATCGTCTGCCTTATGGAAATGTCTTTCAAACTCCAACCGGAGTGCATACTGTAATATCATTCCAAATCAAAATAATGTGAACTTATAATTCATTGAATGAATAAATGAAAGAAAAATGAGAATATGTGAAACACGTAAGATGTAAATGTTGGCAGTAAATTAAATTGAGTAAATAAACAACTAACTTAAGATTACAATCGTCTGTACTGATAATGCAGAATTGTTACTTTCGCTTACTATTCCGAATAGTATTACCTTTCGTCCTGCAAGTTGTAACAGATGTAATGGAAACATCCTCGTCATCAGCTGAGATGATAAATTCTGTAATGGCTGCTCCATCTTGCCATGTCCTCTCTTCTTTTCTCCTCGCTCCGCCAAAGGTAAGCACGCGATCCGAGTTCTCGTCTGAAGACGAACTTAATACAGAGCAATGACCCTTGGGGGGGGTAACTTTCTCCAAGATTCATTTCGAGTTGCGTGCGCTTTCGAGTTACTTTCCTTTTGTTGTCTCTTGCAGCTTAGAGAGGAATATAATCAAAGTCTGCATACTGGTCAGCCATGATCAATATTATCATAGTTCAAGAAAGGACATGGACCTTGAGTGCAATGGGGCTGGAGAGTCATGGTTTAGTCTTATCTTAATTAGGTTTGAGGCTGCCCATAAACTAACCCCCAGGGACAGTGGAAATCCCGCATAACCCTGTTGAGTTCAGCGTGGTTAGGGTTTGAAATTGTTTATTGTCTGTGAGGCAGGAAGTCACATTGCTGTTACTCCTTTGATGGCAACAGCTGAAAAATACACCAATGAGTGGCATGTAGATGTAATTTAAAAGGGTTTCATTTATTTAGACAGGGATTCACATTGGTTTCATTCATTTCTAAAACATTGTCAAAGTATGATTGGCTTTGTATAAATATTGAAGATCCAGTTAGTGTATGGGTGTTAGAATTCTTTGGGTCACTGTTAAAAACATCAAAACCAATGGTACACATTTAAAGATACACACTGTAGTTTGACAGATTTATTTAAAAAAATCCTCAATTTTACTTTGACAGTTATGTACTTGGTAATGTGGCTCGACAACTGACACTAGCGACAGCAGTCATGAATTAAAGTAAACAAATAGTTACAACTGAAAGAAATCACTTATATTTAAATTTTTTAAAGTTTAATTTTTGAGTCAAGTTCCAGGTCACACTTTATTTAGCGTAAAAGCAACCAAATGGATACAAGTTACACATGTACATAAATTATGTCGCAGATCTTTAAAAGTAAAACTCAACATCGCACGTTTTTATAGCTCCATGGTCACATCATGAAACAATTTATGCACATTGTCTCTTGCACAGCGCATGAATGCTAACAAGATTCACTGAAGAAAACCCTCGTGTCTTGACAACAATGTACAAATCTGGGGTTGCAGAATATGAATACTCATTTTTTGGACTTCAGTTTCATATTGGTACGTGTTGCTTGAAAAAGTAGAAAAATTTTATAATAATAAATTATACTAATAGATAACATATAAATAAGGACTGTTTCTTTCTCTTCCTTGCTCTGTAGTTTGTTAGACACGCTTTATCTCGACAACTCAAGGTCGAAACTCGATCGATATAGGAAAGAGGCCGAGGATCAAATTCCCTTTTGGTTGGGATCAGTAGAGTCGAGTCGATTAGACTGGAGGGGCTTTGCAGGTGGATAAAAACCATTTTAAAAAAGAGTAAATTTTATTTGTTGAAAGACCAGTGGCTTTCTTTCGTTAAGTGTTTTTATTTTGTAGGGGGCTTACATACATACTTGTTGTAACAGAACCTTTTGTGAAGGGAAATCGTAAAATGTGCCTTTCGGTTTGGCCATGGTTTGGGTATTATACCTTTTGTCAAAATGGACGATCCCAATGGTGTTGAAATGCAAATGCTTGCTGCATGGCTGTTGTATACAGCTGTCTCTAGCTCTCACACATTGCTTTCACGTTACCTGGAGCCCCGCATCTTAAGTCATACTTTCTCATGTTCTGGGGAAATCGAGGATCGATTTGTTCAAAACTGGGTCTTGAAGGGAACTGCCAATAATGCAAATGAACTTTTCAGATTTGATAGTTGACATTACGTGCGACATTGTTTAGCCTTTGTTTCGTTTGGACAAAATTCTTTTGCGGGGATCGAAGCAGGGTACGGGTCAGCAGCCCCGGCCCACGCTGCATGCATGGCGCGCACACGTACGTACATGTACACCCGAACCATGGAGGTAGAATAACTCCATGCCCGAACGAAGGTCAACGGGTCATATCGCACCCGCTCGATCGGCAGCGTGGCCCTTCCCGTACGGGCGTATGTACGGGTCTGCAACCGCGCTCCAACGCGGCCCTGCGTGCGTGCGTAACGAGTTGTCGTTTTAGGACCAACCGTTGGTTTCCATGACGTCACAAACCTTGCCAAGCAGGTTGACCAATGAGCGCGGCGCATGGTCCCCACGACACTGGTCGCGATCCGTGTTACAGTACCAATGGGGAATTTTTCGCTGTGCCCAGTAAGCGTGGTTGGGCGCTAGAATTTGTTTTGTTTTGCTTTATTTTTGTTAGACTTAATTTTTTTGGAAGAGTTCTACATACGGATGCCAGTAATTATTCCCTACAGTGACCTATTAGCCATCAGAAGGCAAAAACATGTCCAGAAAAGTTCAATTTAGGAAGGGAAAAACCAAGTCGTTAACTTAGAAAAGACTGAGAATTTTTCCGACAAGTCTCATATGGTTTGTGCACAGGATGTCATGTGACGTATATGGAACTCTTGCCAATATTTTTCATGTGTAAAAAGTGAATATTTAGAGAAATTTGTCTTCGGTCAGTTTTTCGAGTGACTACTAGTTCAGCTCATTTCAACTGTATTCACACATGAATATATGTACATGTATTATGGTGGTGACGAAAGCCAAACTCATTCGACAAGGTTCATTTCATCCTCAATCTCCCAACTTTCCCAGATAAAAAGAAGGACAAGAAAAAGAAGAAAGACAAGTCGTGGATGAGAGGGGAAGACGTTGAGGATGACGAGGACCAGAAACTGGAGGCCAAGATGAGAGATCTGGCTGTTGAAGATGAAGAGGAGGACTTGGCTCCGGTGAACGCAAAACCTGCCAAAGGTACAAATGGGATGAAGTTGTGGGCATTGGATGTCCAAACCTTCCAAACAGTGGTTGTTTTTTTACATCATCTCTTGAAAATGCAACGTTGTGTCGCGATTAATCTTATTTTCAGATTTTGTGTCGCTATTTTGTCAATTATTTTGGAGCTTTTTTGGTGGTTGTGCAATCGTAAGTTTCCATATTCATGAGCAAAATTAGTACTGCCGCCGAATCGCTGAAATGAAGAAAAATATCAAACATGACCATTCCAAACTGATCCGAACCAAACCAAGCTGGTCAGTTTGGATGTTTGATGCATACCGCATGGTTCTTCGGGGGTTATCGTCCTATTTGTCATTGTTCACAAAGTGTAACTCCACAGTGTTTGAGATTGAAGGGACTTCCCGAAATAACATAATATTTGTGACATCTCTATTGTATTTCTTTCCCTGCAATTACAGAATTCTATTAGGCTGCCCACAATAGCAGCGTGTTAAGAATTTCCTTTTTATTCTAGGCTTTTTTAGCATAAGACGTTTTCTGTGGAGCTTTCTTTCTTTAAAGATCTCATAGGGACCACACTACATTCTTTTTTTGATATTTTGCCTTATGTAACTCCATTGTGTTTGAGATTGAAGTGACAATCTCAGAAAATAGCAAGTCCTTATTTGACAATAAGGCAGTCCTCCTAAACCAAGTTTGTTTTATCCTCAATAACTCTCCTAGTTGTATCAGTAGCAACTGAATGAGATGTGGCCAGATTTTAGGCTACATTTCTCCTGTTGTCTTTCTTGTTACTTTCTAACATAATGAGGAATTTTCCAATGTTGCTATCTTCAGGAGGCTTCTCTGCCCTGGCTGCTCTAGGAGATGAGCTTGCAGCCAGCGAGGAAGAGATAATAGAGGAGGAGCCCAAGAACACAAAAGGAGGCGGCAAGGGCAAGAAAGAGAAGGGCACGAAGAACAAGTTAAAGGGTAAGTTGGGCTTACAATTCACCAATGGAGACCATTCAGATAGGACGGCCCACTCTTGTAGCGCTGTGGCACGGACAACGTCATAGCAAACTTATGCCCGAGCAAAAACTTGTCGTGAGTGATCACCTGGCATTTAACATTGCCAGGAAGAAGTTAGATGGCCAAACCTGCTCATGCCAGTCTTTGCAATTATTCTGACATTCGGCTGGTGTGATAACAATCTCAAACTTGAGTGGTTTACTTCATATTTTGTTAGTTGTCCACTCTCACCACAATCAATTAATTTGATTTGTTTGCCCTGACAGGAGGTCAGACAAAAGAGAAGGACGAAATCATCGACCAACCAGAAGTAGACGAGCAACAGGAACAAAGTAAGGTTTAATTTAAAGATGCAAACGGTTTGTATTTTGCAAATTGTGAATTTTGTCCTTTGGGGGGGAAATCTGCCAGGCGCAAGCTATTTAGGGCAGATTGCCCCTTTCCAAGGTGAAATCACATACAGCTGACCGGTGACATCAGAGACTCCACTGATTTATTTCCAGTAAAATCGTCTCTGTGGTTCATGAACAGTTTTTAGACCCATTTGTAAGTTGGGCGTTCATTCTGTGCTATTTTGCAAATCTGAACAGTTGGATTTGCGTTCACGAGAGTTTTTGACGAACTACTGCCCTGACGAAGCTGATGTAGATAGTTTTGACATTCGATAACCCCCCTCCCCCACTATAATCAATCATTTTTTGTTCGCCAAAGTGATTCAAAGAAGGGATGTTGTTAGCAGAATGCTTTGGTAGTTACAGCAGTGACAGTTGTGGGATCGGCATCGTTCTTATCGCTGTCATTACCCTGAATGTAGTTAGTAACTCTTTGGCCTGGTGTTAGAATAGTGGTTCACATTGATGACCGGTCTGCTGGCGTGAATTTCATTTTTTTCGACAGATGAGAAAGCGGAGCCCGAACCACAGAAAGCAGAAAAAGAGCCGACGGAAAAAGTGAAAAAGATGACCAATAAAGAGAAGAAGAAGCTGAAGAAACAGGTGTGCATCAATCAATTAAGAGGGGTAGTCAAACGGACAAATAAACAGGCTCAAGGAAGAGACAAGGCAGAGACAGCACTGGCAGGTTGATCGTTGGACAAACAGATAATAAAATTCATCACATGTACTGTTTTTCTCTGGTGGTTTGGTTTGTCCTATGTTTAGGAGAGAGGTGCAACTTTTTATAAGCAGACATTCACCCTTAGTAGTATTTGCCATTTATCAGAATTTCGCTCTAAATTGAACACAATTTCGTAGTTAGAAACGTGTGGACAAATTGTTACAACATACCTCGTATGAGTTTACCAGTTAAGATACTCTTTGTACAAATATTTTTTTGACAGCAAGAATTCCTGAACTCTATGAAGCTGGCCAGTGTTGGAGACGATCTGTCTCAATTCTCGTTGTCGCAACAAGAGAAGACGACCAAGGGAGCATTGCTGGAAAACGCCACCGACATAAAGGTTAGCTATGCTGCTTGGGGGCCGCGCGGAGGGGATTGATTGTCGGAGGGGTGTGCGTGACAGTCACTGAAAGAGGAATTATTTCTGATGACTAAGAAACGCTTTGTTCTGAATTTACAGATTGACAAGTTCTCAATTTCGGCAGCTGGCAAAAGCCTGTTTGATAACGCCACACTCTCCATTGCGCAGGGTCGACGATACGGCCTTGTTGGTCCCAACGGGTAAGGCTTGCCAACCAGTGTTTTAATTTGTCACTTGATCTGTCTGTTGGTCTACCATCAGAGTGTCTCGCTCTGTTTCTGTGGTACCGGCATTTACATTGTTTTGTAGAAGATAGCCCACTCAGTTTAAGAGCTATTATTTGGCAAATTGTTTCAATGAATATTTTTGCTTGGTCTGGTTTCCTGTCCCACAGTATGGGTAAGACCACCTTGCTGAACCACATTGCCACCAGAGCTCTGGCCATTCCACCCAACATTGATGTGCTGTTATGCGAACAAGGTAAAAACCCTGCATTTTACAAAAACTACTTTGAGTTTTTCACTACTCAACCCTACTCAACCCTACTCAACCCTCGACCACTGCTAGCAGGGTACCTTTGGTATTGATCAACTTTGGCTCACAAATGTTGGTACAACCCATGCTTAAGACAAGGCTGTTGTACTGCATTCAGGGTTTCTGTCTGACATGGAAATAAATATCACCCTCATATTTTCTTTTTTTCAAATACTCTTCTACAAAACTCAGTAAGTTAACTATGAGCCACTCGATGCCGGATGGCGTGTAAACACTCATAAGTTCCCTTCATTGTTCCCCGGAGGACGTGTACACTCACGAAAAACTTCTTCTGCTGTTGACGTAATAACGCGTCGTGCTTGGTTGGGTCAGAGCGCAGTTACCAGGTTGAAGAATTTTACTGGTAAAAAAACCCAGCTGCTTTTTTTCGGGTAAGAAAAGCTGACGTTAACTGGCTTTGAAGGCCTCAGTGAAACGGAAAAGTGGATAAAAGGAGAATGTAGGCTTGTTACATTCGAACCTGTGCACAAGTACCTTGCCAATAAGCTATTGGCCATTTAACGACGAAAAGATCATTCTTTGGTCATTGGTTTGGTGTTCGTAGTGGCTGCCAGGCTCAAATACTGCTCTGGGGAATTCTGTTTTGATTTTTTGGGTTTGTCCAAGAATTAATATTTCTTCCCTGTTCATGTTTTAGAGGTAAAAGCCGACGAGACACCGGCCTTTGAGGCCGTCCTGAACTCCGACAAGAAACGGTTAGCTCTCCTAAAAGAGGTGGGTAGAAAGTTGCCGTGAAAAGTTAGCGTTGGGCGTCAAGGAAAGTCCTCCCAATTGATGTGCCCTTGCCGTTGCTTGGCTGCATGTTTTACTCGCGTTCAAATTTAAACGCTTTCCTGTTTTCACGAGAGCTGTTTGCCACTTACCTGGAGCACTTGAAGATATTATCAATTCAAGCAAGTTTCGTCACTTTGTCTTCTCAGGAGAAAGAATTGTTGGCAGAAAGTGAGAGGGGAGACGACTCGCGCAGCGAACGATTAAAACAGGTAGGTGTGACCAGTAACCCCCAAACCAGGCTGAAGGAGATCATTTTTTATGCTTGGTAGGTCCCCTCCTTCAGAGTTGATTTTCAGATCTCCCCCCAAAATTGACTGCATAAAGCTTTGGTTGTTACAGGCAGTGAAAGCTGTGAGCTGTGTTTTGTTCATGTGTCTATTGCTGTCATTCTCTTGATAGCTTATGAACTACTCAGCCTGGTTTTTGAATGTGTGGTTATAAGTATTACATGTGACAAGGATGTGCCCCGACTTACATAATGTTTAATGCGTGAAACCATTTCTGAACCAAGGTAGAAACAGTGGCAAACCTGTGTCATGTCTGCATTGGGGGTAAACTTTGCAGAATCGGCGTATTGATCCTTTGATCCTTCTCGACTTCTATTTAAAGGTTTATGAGGAGTTGTCGGCAATCGGGGCGGACTCAGCTGAAGCTAGAGCGAGAAGAATATTGGCGGTGAGTTTGATGCGGATTTCTTGACGTTGGTATGTCCTTTGAAGTTGTAGGTTTTTCCTGCAGATGCCAAACAGTTTGTGAATGTGGAAAATTTCCACCATAAATATTTTTTTCGGAGTGTAGGTTTAACATCCAAAACAGAGTGGTCTCACTGTTACAGAAATCCAAATTGAAGGTGATTGATTTTTTTTTTTGGTGGGTTTGTATTTCATCAGGGTTTGCAGTTCACGCCTAAGATGCAGAAGAAAGCTACCCAGGACTTCTCTGGTGGATGGAGGATGCGCGTGTCATTAGCAAGGTGCCGACAGGAACGTTCATTTTTATCTGGCCCCCCTCAAATCATTCAAAAAAGGCTTTGGAGGAATTTTTCAAAATTATTTATGAAGGTAGAGCCCAGCTGATGTCCTTGATTGTGGGGCTTGGCAGCGGATGGGGTGCCGTTTTTTGTAAGCTTTAGGAATGCTTCCGTCGCAAATGCCTCACCCTATAAAAAAAAATGGTTTGCTATGTACGGATGCTGAACAACATTATGCAAAATCTACCCAGGTCGTCACTGTTTAACAGCAAGCTTTGTTTGTTTTGGTAGGGCCTTGTTTATGGAGCCCACGTTACTCATGCTGGATGAACCCACCAACCATCTAGACCTCAACGCCGTCATCTGGCTCAACAAGTAAGTCACTCCAACCTATCAGTTTTCCCTCTCTTGTCGGAGCAACATGAATTATGGCTGTCGACACCACGAAAAAGCCCTTTTGGTGGATTTTTTTTCAGTTGTTAAATCATTTCCTTGTCCCTTGTTTGCCGGCTTTAATTTTCCATAAAATCCTTAATCTCAGAAAATTTACTTACTCCTGTCAACAATCAATACCACCACCAGTCCCCTGAATCCTCTTTATCCAGCTACCTACAGGGTTGGAAGAAAACTCTTCTCATTGTCTCCCACGACCAGCAATTCTTAGACGATGTGTGCACCGACATCATCCATCTAGGTAAGACACGACTTCCCAAGGTACTGTTGAAAATCTGCTTGGACGGGCCTTGAAAATAGGCGTGAAAGTCACGTCAGATTTCAAACATAACCCGACACCTCCATGCTCTGGACTTTTTAGTATCTGATGGCAAATGAAAATCTTTGGTCGTAAAAAGTTCCAGTTGTCACACGGGAAAATGTTTTACCCCGTTTGATCTGAATAACAAATGACCAAACTCTAATGAATAAACACGTTAGGCACGTTCCACCTAATCCATCGCGTGTATTTATCCGTAACATTAACGGACACTTCAACTTGTAGCAAAGTCATGCGATGACAGCTGCACTGTACTGTCTGTTAAGAACCAAATTTTGGAGAGGGACAAGATTTTGGGGCAAGGGGTGGGGGGGAAAATGTTTGAATTTTTGATGTAACCTTTAACGGCCTCTCCGAAGGGTGAGGCCGCATGTTGGGACTTTCTACACCCTTTTGGATGGAAGAGAAGTGTGATTGCCTCTCTCTCGTTATTTCTGGACCAAAAAGTGGGCGGAGGGGGCATGGTCCCTGTTGGTTCCGTTGGCGCCCCCACCCCACCCCGTCCCCACTGTCCATGTGTCATGGTATGTGATAATGAGAGAGCAACATGATGCAGTTGTCCTTGGCTTGTGGTATATAGTCATGCGAGCATTTGGGCTTGCAAGAATTTTGAAGGTTTTTTTTTCTTTTTAACGCAGATGCGAAGAAACTGCAGTATTACAAGGGAAATTACAGTAAGTACTGCGACTTGGCTGTAATTTTATGATGTCAGGACTGTTTCTAGTGTCCTCACCGACCCATGCATCGTTTTTAGTCAAGCTTTCAGTGCTTGTATTGTAAGATAACTCAAAACGTTGAGAATTAACTTTCAAAAGAGAAAGATTGTTCATTAACTGGCATTAACTTTACGTCCCCAATAAAAATAGCATCTATAAAAGACTCACGTCAGCAGTCTTTTTTAATGTAGTAAGAGTGCCATGCAAGTATATCAAAGTTTTCTTGTTTACAAAATGTAGGGCTTCTTTTATTGCAGACGGCTTTTACTAGAATTTCGTTTTTTATTTATCAAATTTGCAGATGCATTTAAGAAGATGTTCAAGCAGAAGAGGAAAGAACAGCTCAAGGAATATGAGAAACAGGTGGGTTTTCAGTGGAAGGAGCTGGGGTACCAGACTTTATTATCATAAACAAAGCAAATGCAAGACCACCCTTATAGCGTTTTTAACTAAACTTTAAAAGAGAGTTGAAAAACGTTGATCATGTTTTCTTTTGTTTTACATCGGCTGTTTCTCTGTTCCAACAAATTTGGTGTCATCCCAAAACATTGACATGTTTATTTGGTGGTGTTTTTATTGTTTGTTTCGTCACAGGAAAAGAAAATCAAAGAGTTGAAGGGGAGAGGCAAGTCGACAAAGGATGCGGTGAGTCGTCGCGTATCCCTCCCAAGTAGACTTGTGATGTTTCTTCAATTGATGCCTAGCTTGTGTACGCTAGTTCCGACGATTAAATCAATCCTGTCCATGTGAAAAATTGAGAAGTGCTCTTTGCCAACAGAGAGCCAAAGAAGTGATTCTACACCTGAATTGGCTTTTTAGTGGCTAAGGCTATGAGTTCCGACATTCACACACTAAACTGCATAGCCGTAGCTATTGACAGAAGTACGTGTTCTGGGCAGAACTCAACTCAAGTACAAAAAAAGGGGTTAGTTTTGAAATTTCTTTCCAACAAGTTTCCAAATTCGGGTCATGTTTTTCAACTTCTGCAGGAGAAGGAAACCAAGGCCCAGCAGGGGAGGAAACAGCAGGGAAAGAAGAACAAAGCAGACCCCACGGGAGAAGAAGTGGAAGCCCTGGAGCTCCTGGTCAAACCCAGGGACTACGTGGTCAAGTTCACATTCCCCCAGCCTCCCAAGCTTAATCCGCCCATCCTGGGCCTTCACTGTGAGTCGGAGCAGTAGAACCATTATCTAGAGATGAGACAAAAAAGCTGGCCAATTTTGAGAAGAGCTAAGCAGGCATTGTAGATTTGCAGAGTAGAGGTACATTATGTGAAGGGTTGCCAGCCAGGTTGTCATGTGATTTGGATTACTGGTGAGCGGTCCCCGGCCGATATTTTGCTGAGCAATCAAAAGTGCTGAGCGGTTTACTTTCTGATAAGCAGTACTATGAATTGGGGCCAGACAACTGTGTGAAATGGAATTTGATGTGATTTCCTTTTTTGAATTGTAAATTTCATTGATTTTCCTCCAATTTTATCCCCAGCTGTGAACTTTGGATATGATGGACAAGGGTTGCTCTTCAAAACCTGGATTTTGGCATAGACATGGAATCGAGAAGTAAGTTGTTTTTGTAATGTTTTCCTCAAGTGGTTTTGATCTCAGCCTGCTCAAAAAGATTGGGTGTATGTTAACGTTGTGGAGTTGAGTCACCGTAAATCATATCCTCGTTTCTCTTTCAGTTGCCATTGTTGGGCCTAACGGCGTCGGGAAAAGCACACTACTGAAATTACTCAAAGGAGACTTGCAGCCTGTGAGTAGAAGAACCAAGCATTAATATCAAGTCGCTGGACGCGTATTGCGTGCTTCATTTGCAGTTGGCTGTCAGTAGCATTGCCAGGGGATGCAAAGTGACAGACAGCAATGAATTGGAGTTTTTAAAAGCAAAATTGGAACACCGATAAAGCAAAGTCAGGCCCATCAAAATGGGTTAAACATGAAGAAAGTTCCATTTTGCAGCAAGCTTATAGAAAAGAGTCATTGGCCTTCTTTGATTATTTTTTTGTGTCATGGCATTTTTCAATAGTGTTTCACAACTAGTGGCCTTGCATTTTTCCTTTGAAAGAGCAGAAAGTCCGTCTCAAGCCAAAATAGCCTATCAGGCTGGTATTTACCTCCAGTTTCTTTGACACAAAATAACAAAGCATAGACAAGTCCATTCCAGGCATACTCCTGGCCGGAGAGAGGCCAGTGTGGGTAAAGTGGCTTGCCCAAGGGCACGACATTCAGCCAGCAGCTCGATTCGAACCCCATACACTATAATCGGAGTCACTAACCTCAACCACTGGGGTATCTCTCTCCATGCTTTTCCTGTTGAGAGGATTAATTTCTCGCTTTCATTTCAAACTTCCGTTAGTTGTCAGGCGAAATGAGGAAAAACCACAGACTACGGATCGGCTTCTACAGTCAGCACTCGGCCGACCAGCTAGACATGGACGAGACAGCCGTGGAATACCTACAGGTAAGCTCTTGTTGACCTCAGGGATCAGCATCATACATTTGCCCAGCACAGAAGGTGAACTTGTTCAGAAAAAAAACGGTCACCCACCGAAAATGTGATGCAATGTTTATCTGATCGAGACTGGTCCCCAGCCTGGTTTTCGCTAAAGCACATAAATGTCCTAAGCAATCTATTTTGCTTAGCAGCTCTTTAGACCCCAAAGGGTTGTCAGAAGACTTAAGAAATGAACCAAAAAATGGATCCAATTCAAACCATTAACCTCCAGAGCTCTCCAAGAGTTACCTGCCAACTGAGTCATGAAGCCTCGTGTTGGTGAGTTTCCATTTTTTACAAAATGAGACACTAAACCTGATGCTGTGGAGCCGGTGTTGTATTCGAGTTCATCACAAATCCAATCACAAATCCCGTCACAAGTCTAGTCACAATTCCCTTCACAAGTCCCTTCACAAGTCAAGTCACAAGTCCCTTCACCAGTCCAGTCACAAGTCCCTTCACAAGTCCAGTCAAAAGTCCCTTCACAAGTCCAGTCAAAAGTCCCTTCACAAGTCCAGTCACAAGTCCCTTCGCCAGTCCAGTCACAAGTCCCTTCGCAAGTCCTTTCACAAGTCCCCGTCATAAATTACAGGGTGAACAATCACAAAATGCTTTTGTCACAGCTCAGTTGAATAGTTTGTGAATTGGCTTAAGACTGGATGGACTTGTGATGGACTTGTGATGGACTTGAATACAACCCTGTATGGAACTCAGACGTGCTGCTAGTATCACCATCTGAGTCCTTTTATCTGGGATTGTCACACGTGAACCACTAGTTTGGCGTTCGAGTCCCAAGTTAATGAGTTGCCCCTTTCTTTTAATAGCTGTGATTAATCCTAACCTGCCTGAAACTTTTGAGACTTAATGCCTGGTTTCGGGGATGCTTTTCATGTATTCAGAATTGCATAGGCTAGCCACTTCCACTTTACATTGGCCTCTGTGTCTTACAGAGCTTACTGTCCGAAACGTTGAGTACCATCCGTTTCTTTTCAGAACCACACATACTCAAAAAAGAGATGTCCTCGCTTGGTGCTACTGGAGACCTCCATAACTAACTCTGTGTTTTACTTTTGTTCAAACGCAAAGAGTTGTGTCGCAAAGCGCTGGATTTTAAATGAATTCAGAGACCTTGCTTACAAAATATTCCAGGAGTCAGGGTTTTAGCTGTTGTGTTTTTCCTTTATCTGTAGCGGGTCTATAACTTAGGCTACCAGGAGGCGCGCAAGACGCTGGGTCAGTTTGGCCTGGTCAGCCACGCCCACACCATCAGGATCAAGGACTTGTCTGGAGGGCAGAAATCCAGGGTGGCCTTTGCTGACATGTGCAAGCGACAGCCAGACGTCATCATACTGGTGAGCTTTGACGGGTCTAATTGTCAAATATTCAAAGGAATTCTTCTCTTTTGGGTTTGTCTTCTTCCTTATTCCTTATTATCATTTTCTAATTGAATTTTTTTCCTGTCTTGTAACCAAAGAAAATCATGTAGTCATGTGAAACTGGAATGTGAAAGGTGAAGATATTGGCATTGTTGGAGGTTGGCGGGTAACCCACAGACTTCCAATGGGACTGAAAACCCGATTCACCTGTTGAACTGGGTTGGAGCAAAACCCCAAAGTTGCAGATGTGGGCAGAGAGAACCACTGCTATCCACGTGATTACTGCATTATCATTGCCATTGCTGTGATTGTCATACCTGTCATTGTCACCGTAACCATTCATGGTGTATATAGAAGCTGTTGCTGTCAATGTCAAATTGCCATTATTGTCATATTTCTTACTGTCTTTGTCAGCGCATGTTGTGCCGAGGGATACCCAAGGGATGAAAGTTGTCTGGCAAAGGAAATATTTAGTGCGCCATTTCCACTGTTTGTCTGAAGTGCTGCCTTCAAAGTATTAAGATTGTATATGTTTGTGCCCATTCCGATGAAAATTGACAGCCTCCAATCCATCCTGTGTTTTTTCCCCCTTCAGGATGAGCCTACCAACAACCTTGATATCGAATCTATTGATGCCCTGGCGGACGCCATCAATGCCTACGAAGGAGGTACGCACAGCAAAAACAGAAGAACTTGCTTAGCAATTTTTCTTGCTTTGCCCAAATCATCTTGCAGTCGACCGAAAAAGCAGTTATCGTCACATGAGATTGTGGCTGGTACTTTGTGCTAAGATTGTTTTCTGGGCTTAGCAATTTCTGCACTGTGCAGTGGGGTGACTTTGGTCCCCCCTTTCTCAACCCGAGTGCTAACCACTGGACCAGTGTTACTCTCAATCATTTGAGATTTCCAAGTAAATTGAGCCAATTTTTTTTCCAAATGTGCTTCATGCATGATGTAGGAAATAAAAGTAGCTTTTTCCTGAAACAGTATTTACGAACCGTTAGAAATGGTGCGGTACAAAAATCTTATTTACCCCCGTAGACTGGTCACCTCTTTCACAGATATTTTATTCAGCACCATGAACAGTGTGCTTTTCGCTTCGATACGGTCATGTTTATTACAGAGGTTTCTTGAAGTAACCACACAGCAGGGGGGTAGTTGAGCTGCATACAGGTCCCGTACTTGGGCCATTTCTAACGGTCCCTATTTTTGTTTGACCGTTACTGTTGGTAGGAGTGGTACTGGTCAGTCACGACGCCAGGTTGATCACCGAGACGGAGTGCCAGCTCTGGGTGGTGGAGGACAGAACCATCAACGAGATTGACGGCAACTTTGAGGACTACAAGCGAGAGCTGCTGGAGGAGCTCGGGGAGCTGGACAGAGAGGGTGCCTAGACAGAAGCCGGGGGGAGGGGAGGGTAGCCTCAGAGAGCTTGGGTAGCCTCAGAGAGCTGGGGTAGCCTCATGAGCTGGGGTAGCCTCAGAGAGCTGGGGCAGCTTCATGAGCTGGGGCAGCTTCATGAGCTGGGGTAGCCTCATGAGCTGGGGTAGCCTCAGAGAGCTGGGGTAGCCTCAGAGAGCTGGGGTAGCCTCAGATGGCTGGGGTAGCCTCATGAGCTGGGGTAGCCTCAGAGAGCTGGGGCAGCTTCATGAGCTGGGGTAGCCTCAGAGAGCTGGGGCAGCCTCAGATGGCTGGGGTTAACCTCAGAGGTAATGCCACACCCCAGCCAACCCCACGCCTCCTGGCTCTCACATCTCGCGTCCGAATCTCACTTACATCAGTATACGGAATGGCTTGTATTGGGAGCAGTGCTGTGGTCGAGTCCCTAACGGTTCCTTTCCCAAGTCCCTTCACAGCAACGGTGAGCAATAACCAAGGAATGCTTTTGTCGCAGTTCATTTTGAATACACCATGACCTAAGACTGAATGACTTGTTATGGACTCGACCAGAGTACTGAGTGGGAGGTTTTGGATTTCATTTCCTTCCTTGGTTCTAGAGCTTTGCCGTCACTTTTGACCCAGAAAATATCTTCCTTATCACTAAGCGCTCAGTTGTATTCCGAAATTCGCCTCTGTATAGGAAACCGGTGGTCCATTCTTTGTTCTGAGAGTTTCACAAGTCATCAAATCCCATGTTAAGTAGCACTTGACACGGGACGAAGTTTTTCCTTTCTGAATCTTGAAAAATCCTCCAAACTGTTCAATAGATTTTGAAATGTCTGCGAAGGTTATGGTTATTGTCTGGTTTTAACTCAAGGGGGAATGATTTGCAATGACTTGGTGGTGACTGGATTGTTAACCTGAATGGCATCTTTCGTCCCCGGCTTGTTTTTGTTTGAAGTTGTCTCCAAGTTTTCAATAAGCGAAGTGCTCAGAAAAAAGCCGTTTACACTTCTTGAAGTGTTTTCAGTTTGGTAAAAAAGATCTTTGTCAAAATTTGTTTCAGTTAAGAAGCAGGATTGTGCCATAAATTAAAACTCATAAAAAGGTGACCCCTATTTTTCTGTTAACTTCAAATAACTACATGTTTTCCAGTATCGGTTAATAATTTGTTTGGAACGGATCGGGAAATAATCACATTGACCTGGTTTTTGCTCTTCTTGTTGGTTGAGGAAACAATAGCCGACACAAAGGCGCAGTCAGTACCTCTCTTGTGATGTCCAAGCAAGTTGGGATCATTTAGGGGCACTTCAGGATAATGCAAGACTTCGCAGACTGTCTTGCACAAGTCATGCATTTGAAAACAAGATACCCGTGTTAAAAATCCTACTTCCCGAACGTGAAATTCTATTTATATGGGCACGTTATGCAGAGATGTAAAAATCCACTCCAATAAAAGCTTTTGGTCGGTTGTTAATGTGGAGTTAATTGAAAAAATAAAGTTTTTGGACTCAGTGTGGCGTCCAAGATCAGTGGTAACTGTAAGGAATGATGGAGAAGATTTGATGCATGTAAACAGTTAGATAGAAGTGAACATTTCACAAAAAAACCTATTTCTTGGAGTTGCATGGGGCTCTGAATAAAGACATACAGTAGAATTTGTAAAATACCTTTGGCAGTTTATTCTTATTTTAAATTACAAGGAAAACAATATCAACACAGACACGCATCACTTTTTAAAGTGTTTACAACTGTAAAAAAGGGAACATTTTGGAAAAAGAAAGCTGCACACAAAAGTATTTTGGATATTAAATTGAAGAAACAAACACCTAATTGTACAGAAGTTTGGCATTTTCAACTCGGCGACCTGTAACTCTTGTTGCATTTGTGCAAGGAAGAAGCAAATTCCATCTTCAATGATGGACATAATGGAAATTTTAGAAAATTTGATTTGAGAAATTTTATGATTACTGCAAATATTGCTTGATAACGAAGACCATAAGTAAACACATCAGAGCCATAAGAGGACTGGCCACCCGTCGTTTGTTAAAGAAATCACAATCTTGCATGTGTTCTAACAGTTCACAGACGAGAACAGAATTTTAGAGAGCAAAATGTTGAGAATTTCTGATTTGACCAGGCTTCAGTTTCACTCTCTGCCAAAACACGATTTGCACTTGAAAACAAGACAAATTTCAAATTATGATTACTTTTCTGAAGTACCGAGCACCCAAAAGCGTTGCTCTTTTCAAAAGTTGAAGGAGCATAGTTTTACCTCCGCCAACTAGGCATCATGATTTAGGTTATAAATAAAATTTCTTGTCTAAGTTTCATGTCCTTGTTATAGTCTCCGAACTGGCAAGAGTATTTGGCGGGATGGAACAGCGGTGAACGTCAGAACCAAGTCTGGAAAGAAAACGGTGATAAAAAGCATGCCGATTATTGTTCTTAAAGTGTCACGTTCAAGTAGCAAAAGGTAGACCATAA